GCGCCAAGTGCTTTCGGGGAGGGGCGGTGTCAACGGCGAAACCAGCCGAGAGCCGAAGTGCCTGCCTGAGTGATGGAGAGGGAATGGCGAAGGCAGGGGTGGCGCGGCACGGAGCGGGACGACGAGACGGGGCGGCCCACATTGGGGCCAGAGGGGGGGAAAGTTGGCAAAAAGTGTTTTAAGCAATTTTCGGGATTTGGGGAAATAAAAAACACTTTTTATAATTAAATAATGACTTGTTCAATTGTTAAACCTTCAAATCAAATATTTAATTATTTAACCTCAGAATCAGAACTTTCATCATATGACTCTTCTTACAGAATTGAATTTATATTCAGGAAATTTAAAGGCATTAACATTGGAGTAACTTCTAGGGCAAGCCTACTCCATTTCAGAAATCAGTGGATCAGGTGCAATTAACGCCCTGCGAAGCACTTGCTTGGTAGTTTTATCTATGGATATTTTTTTGGTGAAACTTTATAATTTTTCAGTGTGTTAAATAACATCACACAGATCCTTGTCAATAAAGAGCTCTCAGTACCAGATCATGAACGATGAATAAAAAGAGGAATATTTACGGCAGAAGTGCTAACAAAACTAGGTATGCATCATTATAAACAAAGTACGTTAACGCAAAATGGGTCCAACATGGGAAACGTTGGTTAAAGCTAGATGAATTCCAAACCAGATTCAGGTAATATCATATCTCGAAACTGTCCGGAAGATAACTGAAAGACAATATTAATAACCGAATTTAAATATTTCATTCTGTTGTGACACATGAAGTTTCTATTTGGAATTACCAATTATTATTTAAGGACTACGTTTTTTAATAATACAGATTTAAGGTTCACACCTCGAAGTATCGTATCCATAACACATACTATTCTGCTGCTCGAGAGAGAAAATCTGTTTACATCGAAAAACTCTTCATGGTGCAAGAGCGAAGAAGTGCGCGGCGTGACACCTGTGCAAGTTCAAACGTGCATGGAAAGGAGCGGCGTGATTCCCCATTCCTTTCCTGATCGGGGAACGAAGAAAGAGACATTTTGCTACCCCTTTTATGTGAAATGGAGCTTCTGAAGCATATTTCGATTTTGGACTTTTTGCCAACTTTCGCCTCCCTTGGCGTCAGTGTGCGGCGAGATTGGGAGCC